GCCCCTTGCAGCCCCCTCCTCCCGGCGGGCTGATGGTGAAACACGGTGCACAGCGCGGGGTGCTTGGGGTGGGGGGCTCCCCCGTGCCGGCCCCTGTGGGCAGGGGGGCCAGTTGGCCTCCCTTGGCTAAACGCAGCCCCGATTCGTGCCAGCCCCTGTAGCTGTGCGGGGTATGCGGGGGCTCTCCTGCGCTCAGATGGGCAGGGTTTGCAGAAGGAGCAGCCAAGGACCAAGAGCATGGTCCTCGAGGGGACACAAGTATAAATAATGAAGGAGACCCCCTCCCCATGTGGGATGCAAATACATTGTAAATATACCTGTGTGTGCTCTCCAGTTCACTGCTCACCTACGTGGCTGTTACAGGACTGAATTCTGTCTTGACTGGTTACATTTGCTTCTGCTTAGGTGGGATCTGTGTGCAGCAGTGTTACCTCTTTAACTAAGCACCCTTCTACTCCAGTTTCTTTCAGCTCTGGTTTTGAAATCCTTCCACTTTACCTAGAATAGGCCATCTTCATACCCTACACCAGACAGCAGTGATGGGCAGTACCACCTGAGTCTTTCACAGAGTGGTGCAGAGAGATCTGCCTGCACTACAAATCTGGACACTCTTAAACCATGCTCTTTTGATAATCTGTTAGCAGGGTTGATGGCTGAGATCTACGTAGGAAGGCAAGAAAGATTTGCTTCCTCCTTTCCCACCTTCCTGGGATAAAAGCTGTCTTCCTCCCTGTCATCTCCTTCTGAGATGCGCACATCCCACAAAGTCGGGCACTTTCCTAGAAGGGAGGAAGACAACCATCATTGTGGGGAGGGGAAGGAAGGATGAGTTTGCTCAGGCTGTCCCTTTTCCAGGCCTGAAGAGGCAGTGCACCCATTGCTGCTGCAGGTGTGGACAGGGATGCAAAATGTAGTGGGAGTAACTGTGCCCTGCGCCTTGACCACACAAACATACTGGCATTTAATGTGCACATGTAAACACATTTTTCATGTAGGGCCAAATGAGAGTAGACCCTGTCTGCTCCATTCTGCAGGATTTCCTCAGTTCTTCTGAACTGCGCTGTGTTAGAAAGGATTTACTTTTATCCAGATTAGTTAGGTTGTGGTACCATGCAAAGAGCTTTACCCCTACAACTGAGGGAATGAATGGTGGTAGGGGCTGCTTGAGCTGCCTCTGCTGCTGTGAGGAACATTCATATGGCCATAACTGTAGTATGATTTGGCATCACTTAGAACTGTGATATTGTTCTAAAATATACTCTATAGGCTGTGCCTGTGAAGCTTGTGCTTAAATTAATATAAGTATCCATGCTGATATTACTGATTTAACTGAAGCGGTATATAAAATTTGATTTCAGTTAGTGTAATTTTGGGGAATGCCAAGGCTGATGTGCAAAACTCGCACTGAAAAAGTCAGGCTTGTAAATGAGCGCAAATTACTTATTTGATTCAAAGCTCACATGCACACATGTTGGAGTACCTAAATTAAATTGCATTACTTTCATTGCAGTCATTGAGCTAGGCTGAGGAAATTCAATTTTCTCCCTCACAGTTTAGTTTTGAGATGCAAACTTAGTTCTAACAACATTATTCTGGAAAATAGTGTGCTTGACTTGACCCGAGTCAAGTAAACAAGTTAACCAGACTGCACGTGTGGCTCACAGTGCAGTGCTATGTGTATAGGGTATGGTCTTACAGGGCTGAGGCACTACCTAGGCTTTGGAACAGCTTTGTACTGAAATTCTCTTTTTCTGGGGTCTTTCATTTAGGATGCTTTTAAAACACAGGAAGAAAAATGTGACAAAAGTTGTGAGTAACCAGTACTTGCACTAACAAATTGGTTTAAGTTTCAATCAGCCTCATTCCTCCCTAGTCAAACTGACTGAAATCTTTCAATAGAAGACTTGCAGCCTGGCATGATTAATTTCTACTGTCTGCCGTTCCTGCACAGGACCGTGCGAAAGCCGGCAGGAACTGGGCCCCTGAGCCGTTAGGGAGGTGACCCACGAGACAGCACAGCAGGAAGCAGCACACCTGGCTGCAGCGTCTCAGGGCAACCCCGCTATGCACCAGCTCCTCTGCAAACGTGGCGAGGCTGCTCAGAAATACTGGGCCTTGTCTGGGACCGGGGTTAGGTCTCCACAAAATGTAGCAGTCCAGATGTGGATCAAAATCCTGCTCAGCAACCTCAGTTTGAAAGATTAAACTGATCCCTTAATAGGGATCCTAGGCAAGGAGATCACCCGGGACAGGCATCCCAGTGAATATATTTTCAGCATACACAAGACTGATGAGTCTTGTGGTTTCTGGGGAAACATCCCTTTGGGAACTTCTCAGTCACATTGGTGTAAGCCTCCTCTCAACTGAGTGCATCCAGATAAAAATAAACATACACAGTTTATTTCCACAGTTGTGCAATGAGTTAATTATTTTCCTGAGGTATCTAAAAAGTAGAACCAAAAAATCTGGCTTTTATGCATCTCTGATAAAACCTTCGTAGAAAGGTAACTTCTCCTCAGAAGAGTAGGATGGCCAAAGAAGATCACAGGTTATATAACACTGAAGATTGAATAAGATTATATGTAGTTGCCAAATTTCCTTTGTTGCCCAGGGCTATGTATTCAAGTCACCGCAAAATTAAAATTTACTACCCAAATACAAACCTTTAGTCAAAAAACTCCAGGTGGCTGATGTGATATTCTATTTACACTATTTTTTTCTGAGAAACTCCTTTACACAATCAGGTGGCAATAAAAAAAGCAAAAAAAAAAAAAAAGCTGCCATTTCTTGAGGATTGAAGTGCAACTTGCAGCAAGAGAATAGCTGTGTTGAAATATGGAAGTGTTTTTATAATGTTTAGTGTATCACCACAATATTTTCACAGGAAAAAAAATAGTATTTTTGTGGATGGTGATTTCCTATGCTTTCAATACAAGATGCTGCTTTGAGTTAAAGAGAAAAAAAATTCTTGTTTGACCTGTTAAAATAATGATCTCCTGTCTAACTAGAAGCTGTTATTAGTTTATTTTAGATGTTAGACTGATTTGAATGAAGGAAAGTACAAAAGGTAATAGCTTGTTAAGGTGACCATCGTTCAATACTTTTTTTTTAAATCATGCAACAACAAATTAGTTGTTCTTTACGTGGTATTCATTTTGTGGATTACTGTGGTTTTTGAAGAGCTGATTTGATATCTCCTGAGAACCAACGAGCCAAAAAAATGTAATTTACCGATTGTATTCTGGGCCTTATTTGTTCAGGGACATTGGTTAAAATAGTGGAAGAACCTGGAGCATGCAGATTAGTTTCATATATTTTCTTAAGTCTTCATTTCATAAGCAGGATATAATTATTTCCTTATATCAGTATATAAGAAATAAGATTATTGCATTCAATGTTTGTAGAGGAGCTCACTTGCTGTCGTATGTGTTCACTAGTCAGCCATTTCTAGTTAAAATCCTGCAATTAATACAGAGCTGCTGTTGATTTAAAATTAGTTGTTCCTGAAACATTTTCAACTTAACTTAATCATTGGAGAAGGTTTTCACTCTACTGTTATCTGTTTGCAGACTCGATATTGTTATATGCAGCTGGAGCTAAGAGGAAACAACAGTTCTGAATCTAGAAAATTGCTATAAGCTCAATATAGTGAATAAATTACAAATTCCCCATATTTTGTGCATGCTTACAAGTAACGTCTTCTAGTGGTCTTTGCCCTGTAGGGCTCTGATAATCCAAATATTGGGGATCTGGTAAGAGAAAGGAGTCTGAGATATTTTTCACTGATGACATTTTTATAAAATAGTAACCTCAGTTGCGGCACCCTGTAATGCTCCAAAACTAACCAGCTGAACACAGTGACGAGGAAGGGGACGGGTGTCACCTGGGCACCCTGAACCCTAGAGCCCTCCCTTTAGCTGCTATATAGCTATCCCGGGAGCACTTTCCTTCCTTAGAAATGGCTGCTGCCCCTCGAGGTGGTGCTACTGAACAGGTATAGGTTTTGTCAAGTTGCTTTCTAAAACTTTTTTTTTTTTGCTGAGTTGTATATTTGTTTACATATCAAAAATGCCTTGTTTCTATTGGAGCTTCAGGTGGTAGGTTTTTTTTTCCATATATAGAAAGCTTTTCTCTTCCCTTATTGTTCTATCATAAGGTAATGAAATAACCTTATAAGTTATAAAATAGACCTTCTGCAGTTTTCTGTGTTAGATTCTTAATGTAACTTTTCTTTTTGCTTAAATATTAATCTGTTTCATAGTGAGATAATATTTACTGCCCTAAATTTGTAGGGAGATGAAGGATGGTGAATGTGCTATTTCTTGACAGCTTTCTAGCTCTTCTTAGTGCTGGAATAATAGTGCTAGAATAATAATATATATTATTATTAAATTTGATGCTATTTGATACCAAAGTTGGTAATTTTAACTCTAAGAGTGTTTTGGTCTGGGTTTGTGAAATAAGAGAATCCTAATTGTATATGTTTTAAGTTGCTCTATTTTATTGCTGATAGAAGTTTGTTTTGAAGTGTGTATTATTAAAGATGCCTGACCAAGGGGAGAAATAAACTTTTTAATGACTCAAAGACACACCTACATTTAACTTGCTGGTCTTTGCTCTCTAACCTGTAAGTAAAATGTCCAGATCAATAAATACTGTAACACAAGAGTTGTTGAAGAACTAAGTTGCTGTGTTAAGTGTAATACTGTTGTGTATTGTGCAAATTCTAAAAGCTATGTATAAATATATAACTCTTATATATATGTAAAAATTTCTATTTTCTCATTTAATAGGATATCCGGAAATTCTTTGGGGTTGTACCTCCTGGAAAAAGACAAGAATGTGAGAATGTGAAAAAGAATGAAAAAATAAAAAATGGGGAAGGGACCTCAGGTGGGAAGAAAAGAGGAAAGGAGGCTAAGGTTAGTTCTGCTTTGTTTTCTTCTTTGTAAAGTGCTTGATTACTCTGATGTATAATTGTACCTGTGGCATTTTTTTTTTTAAGTCTTAATTCTTTCTAGATAGTCAAGAAATGAAATAGATGTCAGTTCTTTTTTTAAAGACATAGGAGGAAACTGCCTGTTATAATCCTTATTATATTTAATAATATTCATATAAATATATGATTAATATTGACTTATAGCAGCAACACTCTGTAGGTGGTAAAGTGACAAGTTTTTGAAATATCAGGTTGTAGGGCAAAGGGCGATAGATAAAAGTTAAGTATTCAAGTGCTAATGTTATTATAGCTTTGCTTGCATATATCCATATTTTTTTTAAAGAGGGGTGCTTATGCATAGTTAATGTGCTCATATAATGATGACACATTTGGTGAGATAAAACAGTGTGATATAGAAGCCCTCTGACCAGCTAGTACTTGGACAGTATTTTACTATTGACTATTACTTTGAATTATGTTGGGTTATGGCAGGTACAGCTGAGCCATTATCCAGAATGGAACCTGAAGTATACTAGTTGAGCTCCTTGCAAGTGATGTACTGGCCTGTACCCCTGTTAGTTTTGTTGGGACTGTGCTATTTCTTTTTTAGATTGTAATTTTGAAGTTCTTGAAAGTTTGTCTGGTTAGTTTAATTGACATTAAAACTCAAATATTTATTCTTAATAGTATAATCTACTGTTTACTTGAAGCATATTTAATTTTACTACTATGTTTTCTTTCTTGTTTTCTTCCTCATCCCTGGTGAGGTGGTGGTTAACCCAAAGGTGGTGGTTTTGTGTGTTTATTTGTTGAACTAACAGACTGTTACTGTTAGGTGAATTCATCCAGTGAAGAAGATTCCAAACGAAAGCCAACGAACAGGAAAAAACGAATAATATACGATTCAGGTAATGAATCTTGCTTTGTACCTTCTGAAAAAAAAAATCAAGGTTGATCAGCTAAAAGCTGTATCTGGAAGTTGGGCTCTATGTCTTTTATTTTTTCTTTTTTTCTTTTTTTCTTTTTTTTTAACATAATTCTCAATAAATTCAAACAAAACAAAAATTTTTATGTGCATCTGTGCTAGTGGAGAGAGGTATCTTTGCATGCACTGTTTATGGAGATTTTTATTCACAGTAATTATCAAATACTATTAGCTATCCAATAATAATGAAGTGCAATATGTGCCATGAATATAGTATAGTGTGAAATACTACTTATTAAGACCTCTTTCACTGTCTCTTTTTAATCAGTCAATCTAATGCTAAATCTAGGTTTCATTTATTATTTGTTATCTTGCACAGAAATTATTGGGAGCTTTAAGTTTCCCCTTTTATTAGAGAAAATAACATGCTACACTGAGCTGTATAGTATAATTTCACATTTATTTAAACTCCATATACAGGAAATGGAGGCAATTTTTATAGAATAATGTGTATTTCCATAGTTATCTTTCCATTTTGAAACACTACATCCCATATTTCTAGATCTTTTTACATGTTAAATTCACTATGTTGAATGTACAGAATATCATTTATAGTATTTTGTCCCATTCAAAAAATATTCTTTATAATGTAATAATAATAAAACCGCTTTTCAAGCACTGTATCTTAAAAAAAAACTTGCCTGTCAAGTTTATAACATAATAGCCAAGAAAGTTCAAACTAGGAATTCCAAACTTAAAAATTAATCTCTCTTTGGTTGGATTCTGAATCTTGCAGAGCTGTTGTGAAACTGCAGAAAAGGTTGCAGGAATTCCTGCAATTCTTGAGTCTTGCTGAATTCTTGATTCCTGCTTTGGCCTGATTTTTTTTTTTTTTTTTTTAATACTATTATATAATAGACAGTTGCTTTTTTTAGAAAAACACTGACATTGGACCAGATACTTGTATCAATATGCTTGGGAAAAATGTGTTCAGAATTTGGAAAAGTGGTCTCATAAACATTGTCCCATTTAACTGCAGGGAGTATTTCTGCATTAGGGTTTGGAATAAAAAAGTAAAATATAATTCAACTTTAGGGAAATAGCGCTAAATTTTTCAAGATGGAAAAGCTTCCCATGGACTGAAATACATGAGTGTGTTGGTATGAACTTGTAATTATTAGGGCTTTTTTGTTTTAAGCAAAGAAAAAATACAGATACATCAGTATATGCCACAGAAAAAGGCTCTAAAACATAGCCATCTGTTATCACATGCTAGTTCTCTCGGCTTCTTCAGTTTGTCCTGTTTATTCATTTGGATAATGGTATGTGTAATCTTCAATCCTGTAGTTTTGTCTTTTTATAAGTTCTGGGATATGGAAAAGCGTGATGAGGATGGTGTGCCCTTTATGGTGCAACCTCAGTGATCTGTTTTAGCTTGTTAATAGTTTCTGGATCAGTGTATTGACCAGCATATTATCATGCCGTGTAAACATAAAAGTAAAGTTCAGGCTAATTAATGCATGTTAAAATTGGCCTTTTTTTTTTTTTTTTTTTTTGCTCTGGCAGTTGCACCCATATTCTCAGACAGGTTTCTGATCAGATATAGAAAGTATTTCCTGTTATTTATACAAAAAGTCTAGTCTGAGTTCTGGACAAATTTTTATTTAATTCTGTACATGGTAGCATAAATGTTGACTGGGTTTTTAACTTGCTGGGAAAAGATGAAAATATATTCTGACCTTCTGCATATTTTTTTTTTCTCAATCAGTTGGATGTTTACTAATATATGTTAACTGATATTATTTGATCTATTACTTAAAGTCTCTGTATATGTGGAGAAAATCTCTATTTATGCTGTGGTCAAAATACAGATTCAGAAGAGGAGGTGCAGTCAGTGAAAAAGTCCAAGAAGTCACCTGAGAAAAAAGCAGCTACTTCAAAACTTGGTAAAGTTCTAAAGCAGGATCCTGTTGTTTATGTTTCAGAGACAGGTAATGGGAGAAATGAGTCATTGTATGTTCAGCTATGATGAGATAGATAATGTGAGGTGGGATGGATGGTTTAACTGTTGTACTCTTAAATGTAAGTCCCAATTTTGAGGAAGGAGAACTCTGTCCTCCTTAAATCAGCCAACCAAAACCACAAGAGATGTTTAACCTCCAATATTGCCAAATCAGGAGCAAGGTAAAACAGAGGTGATGTTGGGATGTGGCTTAGGTTGGCTGAATTGTCCATATGCTTTTGTGAACTACTATTTTTTTTTTTTTTTTTTTTTGCTTAAAAGTATTTCATAGGTTTGGTGGGTGGAGTTCAGTAAGGGAAGTCTTTTCACTTAAACTGTTCCCTTGCACTTTTTCTGAATGAACATTGATCATGACAAGTCTGAAAACCTGTTTCTACCCCAACTCCCTTTGTGTATGACTCTCCATTTCTTTAATCTCTGACTGATATGTGAAAGTTGGTAGAGGCAGAAATTTGTGTTTAGGTCTTCACTTTCCTGCTAGTAAATTCCAGAACTTAATTCTTCCAGGTCTGTTATCCTTCTAGTAATTAAAAAGGGAGGGGGTGGGGGGTGAATCATAGCAGTCATTTGTATATACCATGCCAACTTCTCAGTCTTGGCTCACAGCTTCCTGAATTCTTAGGGTGTTGTTTTGCTTTTAGGGAATGATCAAATATGATCAGTGCATTCTGTTCTCTTCAAGTTTTTCAGAGCCTTCCAAAATGATTTCTTGGGGGATGCACTTTAAACTGTTGAATTTTGAGTAAAATTTTGTTTAGAATTAAACCCCTCTTTTGAAGCTGTCTACTTAAATTTGTCATTATTTGTCCCGTTGAATTGTACTTGTAGCTTGAGGTAAGATTGTGGTTTTAGTTTATTAGTCTGATTTTAAAGGTCTTGTGTTTGAATTTGCAATGGTTGTGGTCCTTTTTGCCACTTTGTGTTGCTTTGCGTGTGATATCTTTGAGCTTTGCTCCTTAGAGAGGAGAGTCTTGTTTGACCATAGACTTACAGAGCAGACACTCATCGGTTATAAACCTGCTGTTAATGAAAGTATCATCCTGCAAAATTCTCAATAAACAGGTTTCCTCCCAGCTCCCAAACAAAATAAAAACAATGCCAATAGTACCATTAGCTACTATACGAACAAATAGTAGCATTAGCTACTATTGGTTGACAGGTAAACATAACCTTGTGTTGACTTCTGTCCTTGAAGAAAAAATCACGTATTCAAGTCGGGCATCGTTAGAGATACGCTGCCAGCATAGGGGCAAAATACATTTTATAGAATTCATAAGACCAAAGTATCTACAGAGGAAAACTGACAGAGCTTCTAGTATTTAGCTTAGAATTTCAGTACTAATTGAAGGTGAATTTTGTGTGTTTACTATATGCTTTGTTGGCATATGAGAACACTTGGCCACGTATGTGAGTGCATTTGTTTTTTTGAGGTGGTTGTGATGCTGAAATTCATACAAGTGTGCTCACAACATCATGCTATGCTTTTGCTATTTAAAAAGGAATAGGAGAACAATTAACATGAGGTCTGTTAGTGGCACATTAGTTACATGTATGTTACAATTCTGGTAGTTCTGTGATGCATCTTTAAGTTTTAGATTTGCATTTTGAAAGTGTGAACATATGCTGTGCCTGGGTGTAGTATTGGAGGCTCTTCTAAGAGCATTATTAAACATATAGATAATATTGCCTCCTTAATCTTGCTCTTAATGTTCATAACGGCAGCACACAGTCCCTTTCTGTATCCTTTCAGGAGTATGATTCAGCTGGCTATTTGTTCTTTCCCTCCACGCTATTCATCTTCCTGGCTCTTTGTAGAATCACTGTTTCTAATATGGTTTGTGTACATCTTGTTCCAGAGGTGTGACCTGGCACTAGCTGTATTAAGTCACATACTCAACTGAGCCCAGTTTACCAAACTGTCAAAACCACTTCTTCCCATCTTTTACTCATTTTTTTTCTCCTTGACAATTTTTACCAGCACTGTTTTCTTCCCTAATCAGTTATAAATGGTGTTTAATACCATCAACCCGTTGAGTTGGTAAATGATTTGATTCCTGGCTAAGAAACAAAACACTTTTAGGTTTATTATGCAATTGAAGGTGGTATAATCAAGCTGTTCTGCATATGATACCATGGGAACACTGGTCAAGGTCATTAGTGAAGTCCCTAAAAGCCACAGCCCAAGGTTACTGTTATCTAAAGAGTCTTGGGTACACGGTTAACTTATACTGTGTGACTAAAACAATGTCTTTACAACCTTGAGAGTTTACACTTTAATTTGGTTTGTATTTAATCTATGCATAAACCATTTCTTCAGCATAATGGCGCTGGGGAAGTTTTTGTCTCAGTAGGTACACTTTTTTTACTGACACAGCTATTACCTTGAGATATGCACACATTTACATGAGAGAGTGTGTGTGTATATACATACATGTGTATATTTTAATTTGTAGGTGTTTGTCCTTTACTTGTTTTTAATGTTACATAGTTGAAGTCTTAAGTCAAGAACAGTCTGTTAGACTTGTTTCAAACTTAGAACCCCCCTTTGGGGGGTTTGCAGCAATGTTTTTGAAACAGCATTTTTGCATTTCTTTGAATATCAGTTGCCTCTACCTGTTTCTGAATCTCACCTGAAACTTTCTTTTTTGTTGCTTGAGTTTCTTTCTGCTCTTCTATATAACTTTGCTTTAGATGCAGTCTTCTTGAAAGAGTCATAGGAATTATCTTAGTTTTTATAAGGGTCGATTTAGGATAATATTGTCTTGCTTTCTGTTTTTTTTCTGGCTTGTGAAGTTAAGTTCTTCATGATTCTGTAAGAAATACCTTGCTATTGATGACTGGAATTCAGTTTAAATGAATGCTTAATTTATTGATAGCCAAAAGTAAAGCATAATTATTCTAGCGAATAATAGGGGAGAAAGTCTCCTGCTTTCTAATCATGTAGTAATTGGAGGGGGGGGGAATCCAAGTGTTCGTTGTATTTGTTAAAATACCACTTTGTTTGACTGATTAATGAAGTCTGGAGCCTCAAGCTTTGCTTGCAGAAGATGAGCTGCTGTTGTGAAGCATTGAACCTGCTCTGGTTTCATCACAGCTCGTTAGTAGGCATAGGATATGTGGTGACCTTTAGTGAGTACCTCACTATTCACATAAAGCAGGCAGTGGTAGTTCTGTGTTTGCAGCAGTTGACTTGATAGTTTGGGTATGGCAAAGTATAGCTTGAAAAAAAGAAGTCTTGTTGTAGTGGAAGATCTTATGGAGCTGGGAAAAGACAGCAGTGCTGTGTCTTGCTGGGAATTTTTATTTATTTATTTTGAAAGAGTTTAGAAGATAGGACAAGAAGAGACTAGCTTGTGAATGTGCTTGCTAAATATAAAGTGCATTTTTTTTTTTAAATAACTCAATGGAAAGATAAATGCTGGTACTGGTGGCCCATTAAAAGCCCCAAAATAGAAATGCTAGGCAGAATGAGCAGAGAGTGACCTTGAATGAGCATGTCTTGGACATAACAACAACTTGTCACTCTATTTCCTGAGCAATATCAGCATTGTACATACTTATGAAAACTGCTGCACATACGGAAAATGAATGGATATGGTAAACGGCTCTTAATGTTGCAGCTTTCCTCCACAGTGTTTTTATAAAAAAGTGAGTTGAGAATATGCAGTTGAAGAATATTAGTCAAAATGTTCACTCGGGGATGGAGAGCAGAAGTCCTGGCATAGGTATCTTATGAAGAAGTGGACAAGGCATTTAGAAATAAGTCCAACCAAAATTAAATTTGGAGCAGATGTCTCTACGCTTTCAATATTTTGTGCCTCATTTCTCCTTGAATAACTTTGCAATATCAACAGGACAGTATAAGGGTCCTGTAATAATCAGTGTGCTGTTGTACTCGAGCTTGAGGTGGTAAAAGGAGAGTTGTAAAGAAGTTTTACATTTATGGATAATAGCAGGTTCCTTTTATCTTGATTTGCCATTTTAAACGGGGAGTAACTGGAAACTGGCGTTGTGGATGAAGCCAAACGTGACCTTAGAGGTGACCTTGGCCCTTGCCAAGAGCCGCTGGGGAGCCTTGTTCTTGTCCCCGTGGCTCTATTGTGACAGCAGTGTTGGGAAGCAAGTGTGGTAACTTTGAATAAAAAGTGAATCCAGTTTATCCATCAAAAGACAGAATGATTTACCACAGACAGGATTTCTTTGCCTGAACTTTAAATGTGTCAGGAAATAAAATCCTAGAGGAAAGTTGTTACAGAGCTTGAATAGGAAAGTGCTAATGAATCCAGGAGTTTTTAATGACTGGCACTGTGTTATTGCCCTTATTTTCACAAGTAACCACTGTTACATGATGAGATATTTTAACATAGTTTTTATTAATTTTTGGAGCAATTTTTAAAAATGTTAACTAGAAACTAACTAGCTTTAACCAGCACTTTGCTTTTTTGACTAGAATTATTCTAGTTCACTTTTTTGCTATTGTAGAGCCTCTCCCTTTATTTTTTTTTTCAATACCTGCACAAATAACCTTAGTTTTGAAATACCATAAACTTGCAGCATACTGCATGATTAAGTCATTTGTATTACAGAAATGATAAAATTGCTAGCAAAAACCTTCTGACCTTTTCTGACTGTAATTCTGAACTTGTGTAGGAGGGTAGCGGAGTGCTGAGCGAAGCATAGCACTTGGTGAAAATACTCTCTTTTTTTTTTTTTTTTTTTCTTGTTTGTAAGTCTAAGTGCAATCATTTAGCTGTCTGCTTATTTAACAGATTAAGTGTTGTGGCTTAGGTCTAACAGAGCGCATAATTAACTGGTTGTGTAATGTGTTTGTTTATTTTTACAGAGCAAAATAAAATACCTGTTGGCCCCCTCCTCCCCCTGCATGTTCCCAAACCAAAATGGACCTATTATATACTAATTCAAGGCGTAAAAGTGGACGCCCTGGCAGGCTTCTCCGTTCTGATGGAA